GAATCGATCAATCGTAAATTTTTGAAATATTTGAATTATTCTTCTTTACTTGATCGTTTTGGTTTTACATCCCTGGAAACAAGAAGAATAAATACGTCATTGACATTTCTATTTAAGTTATTAAATAATAAAATTGACTGTGATATAATCTTAAATAAAATCAATTTTAACGTACCCAGAATTGAATCGTGCTCAATGCGCACTTTTAAATGTCAAATCTGCAGAACCAACGTACTACCTAAAGCTCCAGTAAATGTTATGTGTAAAAACCATTTAAACCCTATCATCGATATACATCACTCATCACTTAACTATATCTTATTTAATTCAAATGTGTTACAATGATTGTTTGTTTATTTTATGTATATTGGGGTTCACTGTTTTTTAAGTATTGTATGTATATACAGGGTGTCCCATAATTAGCGTGCAATACTTTAACAGCAGCTACGCAGCAGCTACGTTCAAAAATAAGAAAAAAGTTCCTATAAAAATATGTCGAGAAATAATTTCCAAGGGAGCTACAGCCCCCGAAAGAGGAGCCCCTGAAGATGGTTTTTATTTAATATCTCCAAAACTGTTTAAGATAGAAAAGTGAAATTTTGGGATATAATCAAACTTTTTATAGCCAATGAGTTGGAATTATAACAAATTCAAAATTTTCATAAGGGGTGGGTCAGATAGAAAGGGAGTGGGGGTAAAACTACCCTAACTTTTTTGTACGTATCTTGATTTGATATCAGATCATAAAATTTCAGAGTTTTACGCACAAAAAAGCTACGCTCTTGATGAACTTTGATAGCATGCACCGTTTTCGCTTAAAATCGATTTAAAAATTACCTTACATAGCATAAAAATTCATAATGAAATCACAACTAGAGAAAAAGATTCAGCGTAGGCCATGGACAATTTTTAAACATGGCCATGGACAATTTTTAAACACCCTGTCACATATTACATGAAACTGTCACCTGTCTTAAATAATTTTTCCTAAAGATGGCAGCTGTGTTCCATGGCCTACTCTGAATTTTTCTCTCTTGTGAATTCATTATGATCTTTTATGCTATGTAAGGTAATTTTTAAATGGATTTTAAGCGAAAACATTGGACAATATCAAAGTTTAACAAGAGGACCTTTTTTGTGTGTAAAATTCCGAAACTTCATAATCTGCCATCAAATCCTAGCACGAGACACGTACAAAAAGTTAGGGTAAACCCCTATTCCCTATCTATCTGACCCACCCCTCATGGAAATTTTGAATTATTATTATTACATCTTATTGGCCATAAAAAGTTTGATTAATTCCCAAAATTTTACTTGTCTACCCTGAACGGTTTTGGATATATTAAATAAAAACCATCTTCAGGGGCTCCTCACTTAGGGGCTGTAGTTCCCTTAGAAAGCATTTCTCGGCCTATGTTTATAGGAACTTTTTTTCTTATTTTTGTACGTAGAATCTGCTGTTAAAGTATTGCACGCTAATTATGTAACACCCTGTATTATTAATTGTTTAGTTGTTATGATACTTCTAAATGGTGCTTTAATAGTATATTCTGTAAAAAGTTTGGAATACAGCATATTCCGCTCGAGTGAAGAGTTTGTCACACGAGCCGAAGGCGAGTTTGACGGTTTCACGACAGCGGAATATGCAATTCCAAACGTGTTTCAGACTATACTTTTTCTACGTTTTCAAAAAATACCATAGAAAAATAATTTGATTGGAAGAAAGTGAGGTTGGATCGGTCTAAAATTGGTTAGATATTAAAAAGAGAGATGTCGCCACGAGTGTTTATTCTGTCATCCGATGATAGAATCTTTCATTCTGTAACACTTTACGGAATATATGTCATTCTATAGATAAAAGTCATATTAGAACGGCCAAATTCCGTAATAGGAGTAGAAAAAATAATTATACAATTGTTTTTTATTCCTATACTAGTATATTTGTCCTGTAACTGGTTTTAAACTGTTGGGCAATAAAGTATTTATTTATTTATTTAAAAAGAGTTATGGAAGTCTAAAGCTTATATATCCTCATAGACAGTATTTAAATTCTAAAAAAAACAAAACTTTATGTGAGTCATTAGTGTTAAGTCGTAGTAATTATTGTGATGTAGTCTACGGACCCAATATTGATAGTATTGATATAAGAAGGTTACAAACCCTGTAAAATTCATGTCTAAGATTAATATATAGTATTAGAAGAAGGGAACATATAACCTACAAACTTAAAGAAGCTAATTAGTTATCTATCGCAAATAGAAGAATCCGGCATATGGGTTGCTTTTACAAAATTTTAAAATTTAAAGAACCCCAGTATAATATAAAAATTAGAAAAAAATACCTATAAGATGTACCAAAATACAAAAAAGAAATTTAGTATGCAAAGTATGTAAATGAATATGCTATATTTGATTTTACTTTGTCAGTTCATGCTTATAAAAACAATTTTAAAACATTTTTATTACAGCAGCAATGGCCTTTAATTTTGGCCGTCTTTTTTTATTACTGGCTATACCATGTGTTTTTATTTATTATGTGTTTTTACTTACTAGGTTATGTCTTGTCTTATTGAATAGAGTAAAATAATATATTATTTATATTATGTATATAAGCATTGTAAATTAACTTGGTTGTAAGATTACACATGGAGAGTGCGGAAGAACAGAATCCAATTTTTTTTTGAATTTTGAGCATTCTACCTTTCCCTTGCGGCCTTGAGTTCACGGTTTATTCACCGTGAGGTCACGGTTTATTCACCGTGAGTTCACGGTTTATTCACTGTGAGTTCACGGTTTATTCACTGTGAATAAACCGTCTGTTTGTGACATTTGTAAACGGTAGTTAGACGGTGAATTCACGCACTTTTCACAGTATTTTAATTGTGAATCCACCGTATTTTGGCGGTATATTCACGGTGAAGTCACAGTGAATTCACGGTGAATAAACCGTGAACTCAAGGCCGCAAGGGTAGGTATATCCTATAGGTTTAACACAATCGACTATAGCTAGCCATTATTCGTTACTGGGGACTTCAAACAATTAATGTTCAGCTATGCCATTACAGACGCACACTTCCAACTAAATATTGCAACCCAACGCTGTTTATAGTGAGCTCGCTTGCGTAAGCAGCCGTGAGATGTATTGCTTAAACCGCTTAACACAGAAATCGACTAATAAAAAAAAACGCTAATAAATGGCGTCCAATGTGTTGTTTTTTCTTTATGATGGCGTCTCAACCTCGTGGATTTTGCGCAGCTACACGAGAGCCCTCTTGCGATATTTGTATTGTATTATTGGGAATAACCAATAAGCAGATTGTTCAAATCTTACACTTACAATTTGCGGTGTTTTCACAGTAAACTCACAGCGCTTTTACGGTGAATTCACGGTGATTTCACGATAAATTTACGGTACTTTCACAGTGAATTTGCGGTGATTTTGCAAACTTGAGTTCACCGTGAAATCACCGTGAATTAACCGTGAAATCACCGTAAATTTATCGCAAAAACAGCGTGAGTTCACCGTTTAATTACCGCCTACAAATGTCACAAATGGACGGTATATTCACTGCACATAAACGGTGTATTCACGGTGAATTCACGCAAACGGTGAATTCACCGTAAACTCAAGGCCGCAAGGGTTTGCCTTAAATCTTAATCTCATATTAATTTGTATGTATGTTTTATGGGTAATAAACTATTATTATTATTATTATTATTAAAACTCGATAAATAAAGTGCGAACCTACGTTATAGTAGTACCGTTGCTTGGGTACTAGTCCTGAATTTTATATATATTATTAGGGTGACCTTTAAAAAAAATTGTAAGCAGGCAGTCCAAATGGCCTAGCGTTTAAAGCTCGAGAAAAAATTATGGAACCTACGTTATAGTGGTACCTACTTCTGAATTTTTTATGTAAATTATTTGGGTGACTATTTTAAGACCTTTTTTAAGCAGCCAGACCAATCCAAAGGGCCTTACCTCCCCAGATACAATAAAAGGTAATATCTACAGTTAAAAAGGTACTAAGGGTACATACAAAATATTCTCATTTACGTTAAAGTAATAGCGCTGGTTTTCGTGTATATACAGGGTGTCCCAAAATCACAGTACCAAACTAAATGAGTAAATTCCTTGCGAAAATCTAAGACCTTTTACTTTGCCATTTTATCAAATATCAATATTAAAAAAGTTATTCATAATTTAAAGCGAGGCAATCAGAGCGCTCTTTTACCTGTGCTGTCGCGGCAGAAGGTAAGATTCACTCCGGCGCTTCTCTTTTCTTCTATTTTTAATTTATTTTGTTGTGCACACGCAAATAAATTAAACAAAAAAGAGAAGCGAATAAAAGCGCAGGAGTAAATCCCACCTACTGCCGTGGCATGCCGGTCCCTGCGGCAGCACAGGTAAAAGAGCTCTCTGATTATCTCGCTTAAAAGGCTAATTACTTTTTTGAAACAAATAGCAAAGGAAAAAAGGTTTTTGATTTTCGCAAGAAATCGACCCCTTTAGTGATTTTAAGACACACGGTTTGGTTTTTAATAATATTGTGTAAAACATATACGAAACCCATCGATATTATGTACTTAGACTTAGACAAGTACGTTTTGTATGTATCTTTCGTACCTATCTTTTTAATTCAGGAATACTACTATAACGTAGGTTCTCCCGTTTTTTCTCTAGTTTTAAAGCCTCTTGGAGGTTAGGCCCTTCGGATTGATCTGGCTGCTCACAAAAACACAAATAATGTGAATAATATGCAATAGGAGTAGAAAAAATTATTTATTTACATTTATATTTCATAAAATTAAATGTCATTCATTGATGCTTAATATTTCAATATAAAGGTAATAATCCTTCGGTAATTTTGGTTGAACTCCTTGGCTTTAATAAAAAATTGTCATGTATTAAAAAACGTTTAACTTCTCTGATGATTACCCTGTGTAAAATTTGCAGTAATTCTATCCCATTAATGTAATCTAAACAATAATTTATTTCAGCATAATTTTGGATGCCGACCCTAGCTCGGTAGTATCTAGAGTGGCATTAAGAGGTGAAGACATTCCTTTATCAGAGCAAACTGTAGCACAGGTAACTAACGCAGTGCATTCGTTGTTTTGGTGACAAAATTTATTATGTAGTTATTAAGCGTAAACAGTGCCAAATATGTATTTATATAAGATTTTATATTTTTATAATTTTAATTATATTATTTATTATTATAGGTATTTCAATCTGCAAAAGAACAACTAAAATGGTCATTGCTTAAATAGGATTATGTATGTTCATATTTTAATTATCCTTGTAAGTTTATATTATTTAAATAGTATTTAAATGTGAAATTAATTAATGTATTTTCAATCCATTGTTTTTTTAATGATTATTTACTAAGGTTTTGTATGTTTAAATATTATAAAACCTTTATGGTTATTTTCAATATAACTTCTTGAACACTGTCAAAAACCTTTTTAATATATTTGTTATTAGTAGCAACTGTACCTATAATGAGTAATAAGGTTTTCTTTTTGGTAACTCTTCAGTCACTAGTTTTCCCATTAGAACTTGTTCAATCACCACTGGTTTTAGTGCAATATCCTAAACCTATTTTTTAAATTGAATGAATATATTTTAAATTTACTAATTCATTTTTACATCAATTTGCTGCCGCATACAATATTTTGGTTTTTCGTAATAGTCATCTGAATTAAAATCTTTTTCTTTTGGTTCGTAGTGTTTGAATTCTGGAAAAGCTGGTTCTAGTTTACGACCCTATTTAATTTTTCTCTCCTTTGTTTATTGAGAAATACAATTAAACCAGCTTTTTTTAAATACCTTAAAATAACAAATAAATAAACAATATCTGAAAAATTCAGTTAAGGACCTTTTCGAAAATATTGTTAAATGATCTATTTAAGGTCTTTTTTAATTTTTAGATTCAGTATTTTTGGGCAGAATAGTTTTGTTGGGTCAGTAAGATTATTTTGAACCTTAAATTTTTTAAAAACTAAACTTAAAATTGATTGTTGCATATTTTATATTGGCAAAATAATTGTAAAGTAATAATAATAATAATGTTGTCCCTTTGTACTATTATAAAACAAAATTATAAACTAATAAATGTTGATAACAAATTGTGTTTTTTTTCAGTAAGATATTAAAAACCTTTCTTAGACTGTTTAAATGTACTATTTAAAAACAACAAAACTTTTAATAGTAACATAAAAATAAAATTTGCTAAGGGACATTCTATATTTTCTTACTGTAATATGAATTTTTTTATCAGAATTTCTTTTTTTGCTAATTCCGCCATTCCACGTTACTTGTCATCAGAAAATGCATCATAATAAAGATCAATCTAGAGTGCTTTGAACTATTTGAGAAAAACGAATTTTGACAAGTTTAGACTGCTGGGAATAGCTGAATACAACTTTCTAAGGCAAGTTCCATTTTTCAGGCATTGTGTGAATCCATTAGAAGAAAAAAAGCACTCTAGATTGATCTTTATGATGATGCACTTTCTGATGACGAAACGCCAAAAGGTCAATTTGAGGATGCTGTCTGACTCAGAATTTTCTCAGGATTCCAAATATGTAAAAATATATAAGGCATTCCAAAAGTCGAAAGTTGGTATCATTTCCGGCGAAACCGGAAGTTCAAAAAATTCATTTTGTACTCTTATAAGTGGCATTTTATATCCTTATTAACCATGCTAAATTTCATTTCTCCATCTTTATAAATAAAAAAGTTACAGGGGTGCGCCTATTTTCAGATACACCCGGTATATAGAAACTTTTTAGTTCAGATAATGCCGCTTGAGAATGAGGCCGCCTTGCGGTTATCAACTAAAAAGCATTGTTGCCAGAGTGTGCCAATGCAAAGTTCTGGTCAGTGTTTCCAACATAACGAATCATCCGCCAGATCTAGCGAAAAAAAAATGATAGCAAAAAGTATAGGATTTTAGTTTTACCTATAGGTAATATATTGGTCGGTTGGTCTAGCTATTTTTATTGAAGAGAAAATTTCTCTTCTTTTGCCGTCTTTATTTCTCTAAATACACACGGCTTCGGTTTTACTAATAGGTATTTAAAAAAACTAAAATTTCTTACGTTTTGCTTCTCTTGTCAATTTATAAAAAAAAACAAAGAATTAAAAAAAAACACCGTTTTTAACGAAAAAAATAGAACAATTTTGAAACATTTTTAAAAAAAATACTTTCCAACTAAGTATTCAAAAAAAAGTAAAATGAAAATCTTCCATGTAGATCTGTCAAAAATTTTGTCAAAAAACTGTTTTTTTTAATATCTACTTTCAGTTTTTTGGGTTGCTATATTTAAAATATGACACGTTGGTACATTTGGCGTTTTCAACTTAAAAAATATATAATCTTCCAAACATTTTTTTAAGAAAAATTAAAATCGCGTATGTAGCCGTTGTGGAGATATGTATTTTTTTATAAGTTAATGCGCAACAATAAGCTGTGTGTTCTAGTGAAAATGACCTTAGCAATTCGGTATATATATATATATATATATATATATATATATATATATATATATATATATATATATATATATATATATATATTGATGGTTTTCCGGGATCTGCTCCGAGTTGTCAGTTTTTGGTTCTTAAAAGAACCGTATGTCTGACGACGTTTCGGTACAATCTCATGTACCATCTTCAGGTCTTATCTGCTGGGCTGCTGTTGCTACTCTGCTGCAAGTTCATACATATAACGCCAATGGAAATCTAAAGCAGCAGAGCAACAACAGCAGGCCAGCAGATAAGAGGGTACATGAGATTGTACCGAAACGTCGTCAGACATACGGTTCTTTTAAGAACCATAAACCGACAACACAGAGCAGATGCCAGAAAACCATCAATACATATAACGCCCGTAAAAACCTAAAGCAGAACATTGATATCGTTAATTTGCGTGGCGTTTTGGTGGTTGTAAGAGCTGGTTTTTATGCAGTTGGTAGTCTCTGTGTATCGTCTCTTGTGCTGAGGTTTCTTGGTCCTGTGTTCGATGCTAGCCAAGACCCTTGTTTTTTCAAAGTCAATTTCATGGAAAGTTTTTCGGACGTGTTCAGCTAAGAAAGATGTTTTAAGACTGCGTTTCGATGTTCTTCACGTCTAACGTTGATACGTCTATTGGTCTATCCAACGTAGCTTTCGTCACAATTAAACAAGGAGTTTCGTACACCCCTTGTGCCTCTAACTCTATTTTGGTTTGGCGTTTGGAAGTATTTGACCGATCTTTCTTATGGCGGTAAATGTTATGTTTTTGAGAACTTTGCCTATTCTCTCGGTTGTCCCTTTCACGTAGGGAAGGAAGGCCTTCGAAGTTGGTTTGTTGTTCTCGTCCTCTGTGGTATTTAACCGGCGTCGTGGTCCAAGAGTCTTTTTGATGATGGTTTTGGAGAATCCGTTTTGCTGTAGCGTCGTTTGGAATTTCAGGTCTTCTTGTTTCTTGTGGTCATCATCCGCCAGCCTTTCGCGTGACAAGTGTCTTAATGATTGACTGCAGTTGTGCGGGTGGTGGTGAGACTGGGCGTGTGCCATTATTTATCTTGATTATGAAGACATCCAGAAAAGGTAATTGGTGTCCTTTCTCGGTTTCCATTGTGAACTTAATCTTTTTGGGAAGTCTGGTCCAGGAATTTCTTCAGTTTCTCTTCTCCGTGGGTCCAGATGACAAATGTGTCTTTTACGCACCGTAGCCATAACTTTGATTTTAGTGTTGCCGTTTCGATTGCTCGTACTTCTATGTCTTCCATGAATAAGTTGGCTATTGCTGGCGATATTGGAAAATTGACTTTGAAAAAACAAGGGTCTTGGCTAGCATCGAATACAGAACCAAACGCACCATTCGTAAAGCCAATGAAATAGGAAAATGTCCAAAAAACCTCAATAAAAGAGGCGATACACAGAGACTAAGCTTAATGTTGCAAATTAATTTATAAAAAAATACATTTAAGTGTATATCTTCATAACGGCTACATACGCAATTTTAATTTTTCTTGCAAAGTAAAGCTAATAATATCACTATTTAAAAAAAAATGTTTGGAAGATTATATATTTTTTAAGTTGAAAACGCCAAATGTACCAACGTGATAAATTATAATTTATTTCTTTAGTAGGTAATAAAAAATGCATGAAAAAGCAACTTTTTCTTTCTTAGTTTTTTTTAATTTTATCGATAATATATCAATTTTTTATTGAAATAGGTTTGTATAGTTTAGACCACTGATATTTTTCCTCGCATAAAAACACTTTTTCTTTTTGTTAAAAGTAGCCGCCAACTATAAGTGAGATTCGTATTAAAACTGTTAAGAAAAATGATTGATGACGTTTCTAAGCATTTAAGGGCTTTAGAAGTATTGGGTGAAGCTACGGATTCGTGGGATACTTTGGTGATTTATTTGGTCACAACGAGACTCGAGGTTATCACACTTCGTGAATGGGAACAGTTCAAAAATACAGACAATAAGATTAATTTATCTGATTTATTTGATTTTCTTCGAAATCGAGCGGAAATTTTAGAATCTATTGAAACCGATAAAGCTCATAAGCCAAATAAATTTAATCGTTGTGAGCCAAGGTCAAAGGCATTTGTTATGTCGAAAACAGTTTGTCCCAGTTGCAAACTTGATCATTTCTTTTATAATTGCCCAAATTTTACTAAACTTAACGTGAATGAAAAACTTATCGAAGCTAAGAGGTGTAAGGTGTGTTTGAATTGTCTGCGCGGTGGACATTTTGTGAAGGATTGCAAGGCCCGTTCGTGTAAGCATTGCAATGGTAAACATAACTCTATTTTACACATATTTAAACAGGAGATAATTGAAACAAACGCATCTTCAAGTACAAAAAATGAGTTAACAGTTAACAGTTGTACATCAAAAATTGTCAATAACTGGTCCTCTTGTCGACAGCACAAGTGTTTGCAAAAGGTCCTACAGGTCAGTCAAGGTTGGCTCGTGTACTTATTGATAGTGGTTCTGAGTCCAGTTTCATAACTGAATCACTCGCAGATAAATTGAACGCTGTAAAGTCGCAGGTTCATATTAAGATTGCAGGCATTGGTGACGTGGTTTCTACCATCAAGGCAATAACTTCTATTAATATCACATCGCGAGATAATATTTTTCAACGTCAAGTTTCATGCTATGTAGTGCCGCAAATAACAAGTGATTTGCCGGCAATTAAGGTTAATATCGATAATTTTAAATTACCGAATAATATTTGTCTTGGATCAATTTGACGTTCCAAATAGGATAGACATTCTTATTGGTTGTGATCATGCGTGGGATATTTTTATTGGAAATCAGGTTAAATAAAATAAAAAAGGTCCAGCACT